TTAAAATGGCATGTTATTTTAATTGGATAGTGATTGACTTACGTATAATTTTTTCCGCAATACTTACTGATAATTACGTAAAATCTAATAATATACTATGTGCAGTCCTATATTTATTCTTGCTTTTTCATAACGTTAGCAAATTTCTACTCATTAATTATGTGTGCGAAACAGTCAGCATCAAGGTATTCATTTTAACTTCAACTTTTTAAATGTTAATTTAAAATTTATTTTTAATAAAAAGTACTAGTAATATCTTTAAATTTCTAAATTAGAAGTAACTTCAATTTTATTCAACATATTCCAATTTTAGGCTAATGCAACAGGATATTTATTAAATAAATTATCATATTCTATTTTTGACGTTGAAGTTCGTGAAAACGTAAGTCTTAAAATAAGATAACTAAATTTTATTAAAAGAAACATTAAATGTCCAATTTAGTACAAACACTAACAAAATATGAATTAATAGTAATGTATTATAATAATACAGATTTCACAATTTTCATTACAAATGACTTATAAGCCTCTTAGATTCTATGGAATTGGATTTTTTCAATTTGGCTCCAAATTTCTTTACAGGGTATGTTATATTAATTATCTAATTGCATACTAAAAATAATAAGTAATAATAAATATTTAAGATAAAAACTTATATATGTTATCTTTATTTTTAGTTTATCATGTCTATTGCGACCGTTTTAGTTATTGTAATACAAGCGCATGTAAATAAGTAATTAATTTAACAAAACATAACAGAATTCATAAAAAATATTTTTTATAATAAGCAATTTATATGGTCTAATTTATGTTACACAATATCTTCTATGTATTATGGATATGATTTGATATCCCAATGTTGAAATTATGGGAAAAAAATTAATAATTGATAATTACAATAACATCTGTCTACAAAAGATATATTTTCCTATATAATTGAATTCTATACCTTTCCACAATTCTTTATTTTTAATAGAATCATTCCTTATATATAATTTTTTATGTAACCTAAAGTAATCATGTAAAATAACATGATTTTTACTGAAACAAAAAGCTTTAATATTTAATTATGATATTTATATATGTGTAATCTATTAGGTGTTGGAATTAATTCGTAGCGTTTTACAAGAGATGGGAAGTGATGGGAAGTACTTTCATTAATGTATTTTTTAATGCTCATGTGAAATAAATAACATTCTTTCATTTAAAAAACGCTACGAATTAATTCCAACACCTAATATTATAATTATATAGCAATAATATAATAATTATAACTGTAACTAAAATCTATCACATAATGTTTAATAATATTTTAAAATCCTGCTATAGCACTACAAATGTCTAAATACAAAATAAAATATATCAAAACAATTTTTTTGTATTTTTATTATAAAGAGATATGTATTTTATGTAAGACAGACAGATATAATACCCCATATTCTATTTCGCTCAATACGTCACGTAAACTTTTACGAATTGGTTTAATATCCATAAACTGCCTTAATAAAAATTAAAAAACTTTATCATTACTGCTACATATGCTACTATATGTATACAATTATCTTGTCAAAATTGCTGTTTAAACGGAAATACAACCGTACAATGACTAAAAGTATTCAAATAATATTAACATCACTCATAATAATAATTAGTTATGTATTTAGTTTAAGAATTACTAGTTTATGTAGAAATTACTTAAAATATGAGTTCAGTCTTTTTTATATATTGCTCATTTGGTCGATTTATTATAATCTTTTGACATCAACACTTTAATATCTTCTTTTAATAAATGAAATTTCATCGAATACCATATGTGCTATTCGTTGGAATTGTTTACCTTACTGACACGTCCTTATTAACAATCGTGTTTGTTATATCATGATATGGTAAGAAGGTAGTAATATCATGATAAGATAAGTAGAGATGTGTTATTATTAATAATATAATTATTTATTAATAATAACCATTAATACTATATAGTAGTAAGAGTAAAAGAACAAAGAACAAAAATTAGAAAAAAAACAACTAACATTATCATTAAAAACAATATCGATATTTGTATTATGAATGTATTTGCTTCATGTGAAAACAAAAATTTATCAAGTTTTATTTCGAGAATAGCTTGTTATATGGAAAATTCGATTATTTCATCATACATTTACATAGTGAATTTTAAAAGGTCCATTAGTTTATGAAGTTATCTGCAAAGTGCAATTCATAATTGCGAAGACATATGTTATGACAAAGAGCATTCGAGAAATGTTGTCGTCATTACTAATTATCAGTTATGTGTGTAGTTAAATTTCCTGTAAGTGATCAAAAACAATGTACAATTTTTATACTTATTGCTACTATGAGTGTTTTACTACTTTATTGTAATATGTTCAAGATCTCATACAACTCATTATTCTGAATATTATGTTTGCATTGGAATACATATTTTTACGACAATAATATCATTTGCTATTCGAATATATTACAATAAGATAAGAAATAGAATAAAAAATATTTGTCTGAATACACTGTTCAACAAAAAGTGACTTTTTTTTTACTGAAACGAGACAAGTATTTCCTGTAATTTTTATGTGGATATTGAATATAAATCCTGTTTCCAAATTGCTCAATCAAGTCACAAGAAATTCACAATCAAAGTTGTAAAAAACAGCTATTTTCACTTTATCATATTATAATTACAATATGTAATATGCTAAAGAAGTTTTATTGCAATCAAAATGAGATATGCTCTTCGAATTTTCAGGCCAGATTGTACGTATTTATTTTGATTTTAAGCGAAGCTTAAAAATCTCTCTTTTTTTGAAGTCGATAGAGAGAGACAAAAAGGAAGAAAGTTTTAAGAAAGTTCTCGCGTTTGATAAAATATAAAACAAGTATGTAATATACATGTAATACAAGTATTAATAATATCAATAATATTTAGAAAAAATTTCATTGACTTTTACCATTTTGAAGATATTTTATTCTAAATTGATAGAATTTATAGAATTTTACATTACAAATTAAAGGTATAACCTTATTCTATACTTATTCTCTTTTAAATTGAGATACTTGCGTATAAAACAACAATTAAAAAATTGTTATAATTATAAAGTAATTATAAAGTAATTACTTAAATTTGTTCTTGTAAAGTTTCAATTAAACTGATCGTATAGTTTACAAGATTTGTATTCGTCAATAAAAAAAACCTAGACATTCATATTCGTCAATAAAAAAGCTAAAATATATATCAAATGAACGATATATCAAATGCGTATACATCTTACAATTTTTATTTTGTTATTTTGAAAATATTTAGCAACATATAAAATTAACATCAATTATGTATAATAGCATAAGATATTTTAAGTAATCTTTTTATTATTTTAATTGTTTTACGTATAAATTATTACGAATAAATTGTCTATTGACTAAGAATAAGTAGCACGAAAACCTCCTTTAAGTCTCATTTAAAATTAAAGTAACATTGGTGCAATCTCTCGAGTCTTAGCCCTCAAAAGATTTTTAGTGTTGACTACGGTTAATGAGATTTATGATTAAATATGAAGACTATTATCGAAAAGCTGTAAATTTTTTGTCATTGATAATTTACTTTTATTTAATTACCATAATTTATTTTTTTTTAATTACCAAACAGCATTCAACTATGTTTAATTAAACTTAAAAATTTATGTTAGATAAAATTTATGTTAGATAAATAATTTATGTTAGACCATTAAATACAAGAGTCCAATGTCATTGACAAATTCAAAATGGATTCAATATACTCTTCATACAATAATTTCATACTATATTCAATATATTATTCAATTTTTTTTTTTAATTCCAATTTTAGGTAAATGCAGCAGGAAATTTCATAAATAAATTATTGTATCTTACTTACGATACTGAAATTCATGAAAACGTAATAAGTTTTCAAGTTGAATGTTTTTTTCTATTAAAACATTAACTTTTATTTAAATTAAATAAAAATAAAAAACTATAAATATGAAAATTACGATTTATTATGATATCTATTATATTAATATTATATGTACAATATATTAATATAGATTTTACAGTTTTCACTGCTAGTTCAATCGCCACTTAGATTCTATGGACTTAGACTATACTATATATGGACTATTCCAGTTTGGTTTTAAATTCCTTTATGGAGTATGTTGTAATGGTCGCATAACTTATTATACTTACAATTAATTTTTATTTGAAAAGTATCTAAAAAAATTAACTCTTAAATACCTAAATAATAAATTTATTATTATCTTTTTTATTATTATCTATTTTACCTTCGCTTCTATTTTGATCTTATTAGTAATATATACACAAGCATTTATAAGCAACAAATATTTAGAAAATAATAACTATTGTGATATACAAACAACATTTAAATATCTAATGGACAGTAATATTCGATATGTAATTTATAAGTTTTCGATAAATATTTTTAAATATTTAGCAATTATATTATTGGCAGTTATTTCTAACAATAAGATTAATTTTTCATAAGTATATACATATTATAGAACTAATTTTTTATTTTATTTTTTTTTAATGTTAGTGTTTTATCAGTTTCTCTTACATTTATTCATTCGTAATAATTTTCCTTACAAAGATAATTTCATATATTTAAAAAATATCACTTCTATGATCAAATTAAAGATCATAATCATTTCAATATGCTTTCATATAAAGATAGTAATAAAAAAAATATTACACATGTAATATACATAAAAATATACTAATCAAATAGAATGATATAAATATTTAAATTATTTTGTTATTGCGTTATATTTTGATATCAATTACTGAAACATACGTCGTATCTCATTTTATCTCATATGCATTTCTTATTTTTTAAATGTCTACATACAATACATATAACTTTACTGTCGTTAAAATAAAAAAAAGAATAAATGTATTAGCAAAATCGATTTTTGTGTCATTAATTATTCGTTTTATTCCATAAACATTTTGAATAAAAACGAGCAAGAAACTTAACAGTTGCTCTGTTTTCTTGCAATGTAAAATTTAGTAGATCGATTATTTTAATATGTATAAGTGCAGCAATTATGGAGATCTACTATTGTCGTTCCCATCAGTAAGAAAAATATAGTTTGAAATCTACCATGACAGAAAGCATACGAACTGTTTTATCGCCACTCTTGTTAATCAGTTCATTATGTGGTTTGAGAATTATCGAGATTTCTACGGGATATCCAAAACTTTGGTTCAGTCTTCTCTACATTCCACTACTATGGTCGATTTATTGTTTTTTCGTGATTGATAAAGGGATATCTTTTATACCCGATGAATCCGCCGATTACATAATATATGTTTCATTGAATATTTTTACAGTTTTGTTATCAATTTTTCTTGGAATATATTATAATAAGGTAAGAAAATATTAAATATTAAAATATACACATAATTAATTTTTTATTTCAATTATGTAAATTACTTTCATATAAAGTAATTTTAAATTCTTGATTTATTTGTACAATTTTACAATATTATTTTTTAATATTATTTTTAATTTTATAAAATTTTATAATAAAAGATTAGTGAATATAAAAATATAATTTATAAATTATTAACAAATTTCTTTTCGTAATATTTCCAATAATGTTATTGCTTCTTTAATTTTTAAACTCGTTTTATTTAATACAATAATTATTTAAGAAAAATGGGGCATTTTTTAAATGTTAACGTAATTACATCTTTACGTATAGACAATAAATTTTTAAATAGCGTTTATGAATTCAATTTTCTGCATAGAAATTTAGAAACTGTTTAAAGAAGCTCGATGTTGTGGATAATACATTAAGAAAACTCGGAACAACAACGGATTATCAAAAATTAAATAAAAGAACAATGTGGATTGTCTTAGGGTGGTCTATAATAGTTTCGTTATTGAACTATTGCGATTATATACGATGGCGAGATATGCATGATTCTCTAACATCTATCTATGCAACGCTTATGCTAAACTATTGTCCCGATATCAATATCATTGACGATCTGATTTTTGCAAACATTCTTGGGTTGGTAAATCTTTTTATAATGTAGAATTTATATAATGTAGAAATTATCTCAATTATATATACAATTATTTTAGCTATCTACACATAAATTAATTTAATGTTTAAAAAAAATTAAGATTTTTAAGAAACTTTTATGATTTATAAGATAATCGAATTATATATGATCTACCTAAAATCTGCGATTTAAAAAAAATTTTTTATTAAGCCTAAAATTGAAAACTGATTTTAGATTTAAAAGCAACAACCTTACTGATTATTAAATTATAAGACATTTTCAAAGATTTACATGCCGTAAAGATTAAAAAAAAAGTAGTATCTAGTAGTATTTAAATACACATGTCCTCAATGTGACTTAAGTACATGTTTGTCTCTTTTTTGTAAAAAAATATTATAAGAATAGAAAATAAAGTGATCCACAAACTTATTTTTATAATATTATAAATTTATTAATATACTGACGTATTTATTTGTATATAAAGTGTATTATTTTGCAAACAATTGACTTATTTACTTGTTCTAATTCTTCCACGTTTAGCAAATGAATTAAAATTATAGTTATAAAAGATAATTATTTATCCTACGAAATATCACAACTACGACATTTTGCATTTTGCTTTACTGACAATCACAGAATGAACTGAGCAATAAACTGATGCAATCGAGTTAAACGGATAGTCTGCACGATTTGTTAGTGCTATCTGTTGAATTCATCGTGTCGTCTACAAATAGCGAATAAAGCATAATAAAGTACTAGGCCATATAAGATTCTCTACGTTAGATATTTGGGATTGAAATTTGATCAAGTAAACAAACATCTTCACAAATTAACAACAGAGAATATATGTGGAATAAAGCGAGCATGGGAAAGTCCTATGTTACATTCACAACGACGCCAACTTCCAAGCAGTAAACATATGACTTGGATCACAATGTAAATATAAATGTAATTAATGCTTATAATGATTTTGCTTAATAAAATTTATCATATTTACGCAGACATCTTCATTTGGAGTTACAGAAAATATCTCGCGAGATAAACTCAATATTCGAAATACAAATGACTTGGAAGATGGTATGTTATTTCGGTTTCATAGCGGAGTTTTTCCGTGAACTTTTTACTGCAATATTTATCAGATATTATGTAACTAATAAAAGAATTTTAATCATCACTATAATCATATTATGGCTATCTTGGTATATCTCTAGAATTGTCCTGATCAATTATATGTGCGAGAGAGTTAGTGCAAAGGTATCAATTCTCTATATACAAATTCAAACATTTATTTTAATTTACTTTCAGTGATTGTATAATTGCTAACTTTAATGCAATATTTATAATGCTAAATTTTGCAATATTTATAATGCTAAATTGTAAATACATTTGTAAATTGTAATAACATTAGTTCCAATTTTAGGCAAATGCGACAGGTAATATTATATGTAAAATATTATATTTCTCTTGCGATGTGGAAATACGTGAAAATGTAAGTTTCAATATAATATGTATTAAAAGATGTTAATGTCTAAATTAAATTTTAATTTAAGTTTCAACACAAACTAAAAAGCAACAATTAAATTTCTATGTTTTTAATGCAGATCTTACAATTTTTATTGCAAATAACACAAGCGCCACTGAAGTTTTGTGGGCTTAGACTTTTCCAATTTGGATATAAATTCCTTTACAAAGTGTGTTATTAATTATTTATTATTTAAAAATAGCTACATACTAATCATTAATATCAATTCAATTTCTTTTTTCTAGTATTCCGAATCTATTCTGACACTTGGAATTATATTAATACAAATAGATAGATTCAAACATGCACGAAAAAATTAAGTTAAGTGCAATATATATAAAAGAATGTTTTAGTAAGTATTAATTTAAAATTCAGTATATAATACCTTTTTAAATAACATTTGATATTTTTAGATAATATTTATATATTCTTGCTGAGAATTAATATTCTTTTATAGAAAATGCAAAATATAAAATCTTTCATCTTATTTTTACGTCTTATTTTATATTTTTTATTATCTTATTGCAATGGATTTTTTCTTTATAAAAGCAGTTTTATATATTTTATTATATGCATAAAAAATAATTAATTGTTACTAAAAAATAATAATACCAATAATAAAAAAAAGATAACTCTATTTGTCTCATGTACATTGCATGAATTATTACCTGAGATAATTTAATTCTAATTGAATGTTGAATCTAACAAAAGAAATAAACAGATGTAATTAATAATTTAATTAATGAATTGCACATAATCAGATAAGCTCATTAATCAGCTTTTATGAGTATAAGTTTATTATATAATAAATATTATTATGCTTATTTATATCTCTCTCAAAGCATATTGTTAAAGAACATCATTAACTCGCCATTAAATTCAATCCGAATGTTACATAATAATAATTATCTGAACATTGCATCAATTCATATAATGTCGTGTAAATGGAGATTTTCAGGAATTTTGGTTATAAATTTACTCCAAATAATATTACAAATCAAATTAATGTAAAAATATGATAATATCAGTATAAACTTCCACAACAAATATTTTTCTAAAACTATATAATAAAAATTAAATTTTATCTAAATTTAATCCTATTATGAATAATAAAAAGCATAGAAAACCTCATCATGTGCACATTGTACCGAAAATTGATAACAAACCTCCACATTTCAATACATTTGTTTATTTGAAAATTCATGATTTACTACAAGATGCAGTACGCGTCAAACAAATAGATCGAGAAAATATAAAACTATTGAAGAAGATAAACATAATTCATCGATTAGGGGTTAGTATTGTCATATCTTACTTTAACTAATATAAACTTACATATGTAGTATTGTCATATCTTACTTTAATTAATATTAACTTACATATGTTGTATATTTGTTAATGAAAAAAATTAATAATGCATTTATTACATATACTTCCAATATTATATAAAATTGTTCAATTTCATTTATTTTTAGGCAATATTAATAAAACGTAACAATATTAATCGTTTGTTTCATTTTTATCTAGGGAGCTGTAAATTGCTGGGCGCCAGATGTCAAATATAAATCGAAATTTGAGGATCAAGAGCGTAGAAACAATATAATTATGAAGAACAATAAACTTATATTAAAAAAAATCTGTCAAGCAGAAAGTCAATACCCCACCCGTGCGTTTGAGGAAAAATGGAAAAGAATGCATGAAGCAGTAGAGCACCGTGCAAGGTTATCTAATTAATAATATTCTAAAATAAATATATTGTAATAAAATTTTGTAGTACTTTAGTTTACACTTTTACTTTTACACTTTTGTACTGAAATTTCTACATATCTTTCTATATTATGCAGATACATTTCAATAATTAAAAAATTGTCTACTGTGTTAGATATACAAAAACAATTAGCTGAGAAAAGTCAAACGAAATGTTTCTTCGATATTGGAGTTAAAGAAGAAAATCAGAAATTAGGGCGTATAGTATTTGAACTCTATGACAGTATCGCACCACGTACATGTGAGAACTTTGCAGCTTTCTGTCGTGGAGTGAATGGATTATCATACAAGTGCATAAATTATGTTTTATATATATATATATATATATATATAGATTACATTAAAAAAATTAATTATATTATAAATACATAAGTAATAGTCATGCTTGAGATTGACTCAAAATATAAATTTATCCAAAATTTTTTTAAAAGTATGTTATTAAATCTAAAATTTTTAAAAACATTTCATATAAAAATTATAATTTACACAGATACACTCCATTTCATCGTATTGTCTCTGGCTATTGGTGTCAAGGAGGAGATGTTACGAAGTTTAACGGTACTGGCGGTACTTCCATATACGGTGACTCATTTGACAAGGAAAGCTCTAATCTACGTCATACAGGACCCGGTATCCTATCTACTTGCGACAATGATAATGACAAAACAGACTCCAAATTTAATCTCACATTTAAATGTTTGAGAACTCTAAACGGAAATAAGACTGTTTTCGGCCGAGTAATAAATGGAATGAACAACATCTACAAGGTAATTTGAACTTTATTTGAATAACATTTCGTGTACAGTAATGCCATTACATCTAGCACTGTTTATTTAGTTATGTAGAACGACTTGCTAACAGAAAAGAAATTATTTTCTCATTATTTTTTCGATATAAATGAAAAAAATTTTGTATCACGAATAAATAGTATTCTATAGAAAATTACACTACAATTAAATATATATTATCACAAAAAATTTATTTTCATGTTGCGTTTCAGTATTCAATTTTAATGAAATTTAATCAATTTGATTATCTATTATGCATATTAAATTTAGAAAGTATGTAAACGATTCTAAAATTATTATACAATAATCTCATAATTTAATTTAATCAATTATGTTTTTCCTGTTAAATAAAAAAAAAATTGAATTTCAGCGTATTTTGCTTGATAGAAATCCGTACAGATCTGTAAGTGTTATTTCTTTATTTTTATATATCTTTTTTTCTTTAGTTAACTTTCATTTCGACTTTTTTCAATATTTCGCATTATTATTTACAAAAATTTCATGTAAATATAAATGATTGAATGATATGTAACATGATTGTATGATATGTAACAGTATAATACAAAACATTATTTCCACAGTGTGTTATAAGTTCGGAATTTTAGATTAAACTTAAATAACTATGCAAAATCATTTTTACAAAATCATTAAATGTTTCTTTTTTTTACTAAAATATATAAAAATATGTATATATAAGGTGAATTGCGGCTGTAATGCCAGCTTCAATGATCAATTATGTATCCTTTTTTTATTTAAATAATATAATACATGATATTATATTGACAAGCCCACATTGTCTGGATGCATATAAATGAGAGATTTTATTGTAACTTGGAACTTTATGTTTATTGATTATGTAATATCAATAGAATATGTGTCGCCATCTAACAAAGAATTTGCAAATTATATACGAAAACAAGTTTCGATTTTTCTTTTCTCTAATAAATATTCTACTAAAAATTAATTCATTTACATTTTAGTTTATTGTATTATATTTAATGTAAAATAGAACAACATTATATATCATTTTATAATTTGTCATTTTATAATTTCTATTTTATATTTTATTACTAAACTTATTAACTTTTAATATCAACGATAATCATCATATGAAATAAAAATTAATTTTAATAGATTAATTTTTATATTCAAAATTTGAGAATGTTAAATTATTAGATATTATTAGATTTTTTATTTGTTATTCTTATATATAAATATAAATTAACATATATTACAACATGTAAGCATTAGTAAAAATTATTCTAAAAATAAATGAATAGAATAAATGAGAGAGAGAGAGAGAGAGAGAGAGAGAGAGAGAGATGTTCCATATTCTGCAGGTAATAAAAAATTTTATTTCTATTGTATTGTTCAATATGTATGAATCGTTTTACGAGAACTTTAATTATCGCATTCAAATTTGACCGCAGAGTGGTAAACTGCCATGATTTATGTCTGCTACGATTAAACAGATTGAGGGATTTGGTACGAAGACTGGAAAGCCAATGAAGTCGGTGATTGTGTTAAATTGCGGAGTCCTGTCGACGAAACGCGCATACGAAGTACCTTCCATGTTACAAATATGAACAAACTGCATTATCTTCACATAAAATCTCGCGTAAAATCATAATATTAAAATTATGTAAAAGTATAATTTTTTCATAAATGTGAATTAATGAATTAATAATACATATTTGTGAAAAACTGTGCATTAATAACTGTAACATTCCTGTGTATATAACCATAACTTTAACGTCCTTTTGTCAAAAATCTACGAGCGTGATTAAAAAATAAATAATAAATTCCATTTTAAATAGATGTCAAATAAAATATGCTACACAATTACTAAAAAATCTATTCTTTTGAATAATAATAAAAAAAATATCTTCTAAATAGCTTTTGCTAGAATTTAGTTTATTTCATAATTTATTTACTGAATATCAATCATTTAATTGCATTTTATACGTATTCCAAGCCTTATAAAAAAAAATCGATTCGCAGACGCAATAAAATTCTATATATAGATAGTCATTATGAATGCACCCCTCGCTCGTAATATAGAAATACCTGTGTTTAGTATTCATATTTGGTTAACTTATTAATTAATTAATAATTAGATTAATTAATAAATAGAAAATCCTAAATGGATAAAGTTGAATAAAAAGTTTGATATTAAAAATAACATTAATATAGATGAAAGCTTCCTAACATGCGCTGATGAGATTTCTCTGAATTTTTCTCCAGTTTTTAATAAAATATCTCTCATTATATATATATATATATATGGTCAGGTATTCTATAGAAAATATAAAAATAAATAAAGTTGCGGAGACAAATACGCGTTCAGTTAATCAACAAGCAAAAAACAAATAAATAAATATAAATTGAGACATAAATTAAAATAGTATCTATACACGTAGTACCGTTTTAAATACAGGTCATGTGTGCGATTTTGAAACTCGCGTTACAGTTTGATTATAATCTCGATTGATCAATAAACTGGAACATTGGAAAAGAAATGAGTAAGTAAACTTCATTTTTGCTTTAACCTAACTCGGTAATGGAATCACATACTATTGCTAATCTTCTTATACGTACGAAATGTTGTAAGCAATGTTCAAAGAAATCCAGTAAAAAGTTTTTATGTATAAATATATGCATAAGATATAAATATTAACATATACAAACATATATAATTAAATATAATATGTGTTTATATTTATACATTCTTTTTTTATAAAATTAATATTTCGTGTAAGAAGAAAATAATAATAATGAAAAAATATAAAAAATAATTAAAAAAATAATTTTTGTATTATTTCTTTTATAAAAAATCAAGTTTGGAGAAATTAATCACATATAGTTATATGTATATATTATAATTATATATGAACAATTCAATTTCTCATACTAAACTTTTAAAGAACGAAAAATGTATAATGGATATATGTGAATATTTCATATATAATAATATATGTTTATATATGTTTATTTAATATTTTTATATATGTTCATACATGAAACACACATTTTTACTGAGGACGTGAAAGAAAATGGCATACTTTTAATCTAATTTCAAAAGAGATTAGAGAATGTGAATTTCTCTTCATCTCATTTGTTTCACGACTAACTGCGATAAAGTTGACATAATCAACATAACAGACAAAGTTTTTCTTGTGGACTCGTCCAAGAATTTTACGTTTCTCATTTTATGTTTCGCATTATACACATAATGTACTTAATCTTTTATAATTCCAAAATATTTATCAATTGTTTCTTACTGCAAACATGTATCAACTGCAAGATATATTGAAGATATTCCTGACATTCATTGAAATATCCCTCTGGTTCCTTGAATGTCCTACATTATGCAAAATGACATTACCTTAGGTTCACAACATTAATCCAACTATTTTTGATAATAGAATATCATCTTTTATCTCTTTTTATCTTCTTCTATTCTATTATTTTTTCCCCTCTCACGATTATTATGATTATTGATTCTAAATTACTGAGGATTATATATAAGTATAAATATAAAAATAATAAAAGAAATAAACTCAATTTCTTCTTTCTTAACTTCAAATTATTCTTTTTCTAGATACAAGTTGGTAATAAAGCACCTCCAAAAATTGACGTAAATATTTTATCCAACAAAGAATAAATCAAAAAATAATTTCATTAAAAAATAATATTTATTGTTATATTTTAATATTTTGTTAGTCCTCTTTTGGCTTTTATTACAGTACTCTTTAGAAGAAATAAACTGAAATTATGCTTTATACTTATGGCCAAATCTGTGTTAGTCTAATTATTTATCGCAAATATCATAAAAAATGTACTTTTTTTTATTAATAACATCATATGTTATACATAACATTATATTTTGTTATATGTATATGTATATTATATATGTATATTCTAATTTTTTAATAAGTAGAAAATTAAAAGCTTGGCCTGGAATGTGTTCTTTTGCAAATTAGTTTTTATTTATTATAATTTATTCATATTTACTTTTTTTTTAAACATTAAATTATTATAATGATTTAATTTAATACTGAGAAACAATCGTATTCAAATTTAACAGTGACATATACAATATGTATACATAATCATATCGCATTACGAAATAAATTATTATCATTAACTTTTTCAACAATAAATAATTTCTCTTTGTTTATTATGTTATAGTTGCTACAATAGTAATTATTATAACATCGCAGTGATAACACTATTTATTATTACGTTGACATTCACTTTAATACATGGCCGTTATTAAATTTGCGATTTGTATTACGGAAATTGTGACTGTGATCTTTGTGATATTACAGTATAGTTACTTTGATAATTAATCACAACTTTCCGATCATAATGACAATTATTATTACATTAAAACAATAATTGATGCAAAGATCATCGTATCATGAAAATCTATTGAATAGTCATCGCAGTAATTTCGGCGAATTAATTATGACAATTATCGATAGCGTTAATCACGTTTATTTAAAATTTGAAAGGGCTTATCTAATTAAATTATGATTTAAAAATAATATGGTTTTTGTGCTGTTAAACAATAAAATGAAAAAATTATAAAATGAAGTATAACTTTAAATCAAAAATTATAAAATATATTTATAAGTATTGATTTATCATTAGGTACACTATATATTTTTAGGAAAAATGATTATACAGAATGTACCATATAATATATCATATATCTACAAACTAATATATAAAATACATCTTTTTTAGAAAAACTATATAAATTTTTATTAATATATAAAGGCAATAATGATATTCTTTTCTTTTAATGAAGCTAATTACTTTCTAGATTTAGAAAGTAATAAAAACATTTTAATAGCATCTCATAATAATGCAAAAAATATCATTTTAGGATAGGCCAAGACAAATCAAATTAATATAAGTTTCGAGAAAGTAATATAAGTTTCAAACAAGTTTTATCATATTAGCTATTTTCGCGCGTTTTCATCGAAAACAATAAACAACAATATCAACGATACAAACACAAAGATCGTGCACGAAGAAATATTTTATTTCTTATACATATAATATAAAATCATGATCCTAAAAAATATTTTGCAACTTGTAAAGAAAAAAATGTGAAAAAAGTATAATAATTTTTACAGAATATATTTTTGCTAAATAAGTGTAGCAAACTGGTAATCCACTTCGCCATTCAATTTTGAGCAAATCGAATAATTTCATTTTCTTTTAATAAGAAATATCACATTTATGTATTATTTTATTATATGAAACTCGAGCCAAAGTTGTAAAAATGAAGAATTTATAATAAAACTTAATAACAAAATTTATTTTGGATTACTTTTTTACCAAGGAACAAAAATTGTTCCGCTTCGACTCGGCCTCTACCCTAATAGGGTATATTAATTATTATTTATTCGATTTCCAAAAATATACTTATTATGCTTAGTCTGTTTCGCAGAAGACTTTTTTTATCGTTTCAATCATGATGCCATTTATTTCATTCGAAAGAAATATGTACTTTAAGTCTCACCGATATAACGACCTCGCTACGTACGACCAGAGCTTCGATGACTTTCTCATTAGTAAAAAAAACTTCATAATGAATTTAAACGACCACTCATTATATACGTGATCGAAATGTTCAAACATATCGTCGTCGCATGTGTTCATAGCCATAAATTGCATTTTCACTCAAGTTTTTCGTTCGCATTTACATAGAGACGTATGTTGATTTCACCGTGTGCATGTGTCATTTCGATAGCTGAATATTTGCAACCGGTATAGCTAGTGCGTCGTTATTAAAGTTTCAATTCTCGTACCTGCTTAATGCGCATATTTTCTAACAAAGGCATTTCTACGCGGATAAATGAGGAAATATCTTTACGATCGCTCTCGTTTTACAATCTTTTTTTATTTGCCCGATTACATGCGTGCTTCGATATTTAGATGCAAAAGATGCCATTATACTGAGGAAAAGAATTTTAATACGATATTTCTGTGCAAACTTCTGAGTCTGTAGAGATCTCATGAGATCCTGATTTCACAATTTTCAAGGACATCAAAATGTTCAATTCTTTTGAATAAATATTACATTAATCTTTTCTCAAATAATTTCTTCATTAATAAACGGAAATTAGAAAGTAAATATGTAAATGTATTAAAGAATTAATTTACATAAAATTTGAAATTCGAGTTAAAAATAATAAAATTTTTGCAATTACGTATAATTACGTAAAAAGTTTTCTATCTGTTTTTATAAATCGGAAAAATATATAAATGTACATTTTCTAGTTTTAGTATTCTATGTTTTCATATGCTGTTATATGTACAACTGAAAAATTTATTTTAAAAATAGCATAGGATTCTTTCTATTATTTTGAGCTCTTTTAGAATATATCGAGCATTGCTTATTAATTAATATTTCTATCACTGTTACGATAATTATTTTTAATGTTGTTAATTATTTTAATAATATAGACATCATTAATATGAGATATAAGTCGCAATATCGTTATATATATTTTACACGCAGAACGTACAATTTTATATTATATATGTATAATATATAATATATTATACTTATATTATTAATACATATAATTCATACATTACGTTATATAATTTAAATTAATTAACA